ATTGAAGAAACACCTATAGACCTTCCATTAAATGTTACTCCACCAACTATCGAGGAAATCAGGATGTCCATCAGAAAAATAAAAAGTGGAAAAGCAGTAGGACCTGACAACATACCACCTCAAGCACTGAAGTCAGACATAGAAATAGTTGCAAACGCGCTCCATGTCCTTTTCAGGGAGATTTGGGAGGAAGAACAAGTTTCACAGACAGACTAGAAAGAAGGATACCTCATCAAGCTATCGAAGAAAGGAGACCTGAGCAAATGTGGGAACTATAGAGGCATCACATTAATTTCAGTACCAGGAAACGTTTTCAACAGAGTGTTGCTGAATCGTATGAAACACTCAGTAGACGCCCAACTTCGAGATCAACAGGCTGAATTCCGTAAGGATCGGTCGTGCAGAAATCAAATCGCAACACCACGGTTCATCGTCGAACAATCAGTTGAATAGAACTTGTCATTATAAATCAACTTCATTGACCATGAGAAGGGGTTTGACAGTGTGGACAAGATAACATAAGGGAAACTTCTTCGACAATATGGAGTTCCTTAGACGATTGTCAACATCATCCGGAATTCATACGACGGACTACATTGCGAAGTCGTGCATGGAAAAAAGCTGACAGGTTCATTCCAAGTAAGGAGTGGAGCGATACAAGACCGTCTACTCTACCCCTTCCTCTTTCCTCTGGTGGTTGACTGGATTATGAAGACCTCGACATCTCAAAGGGAAGCACAGAATACAATTGGCAGCTTGCATGCAACTAGACTATTTGGACTTCGAAGATGATCTACGCCTCTTATCCCATACACACACATCAACAAATTCACATGAAGACAACTAGTGTAGTAGCAGTCTCTGTATCAGTAAGCCTCAACATACACAAGACAGAAAGCAACATCATCAAATACAACACAGAGAACATCAACTCAATCACACTTGATGGGGAAACTCTAGAACAGGCGGAAACTCCCACGTACTTGAACAGCAGCGTTATCGATGAACAAGAAGGATTTGATGCAGACCTAAAGGCGAGGATTGGAAAACCAAGTGCCACATTCCTACCATTGAAGAACATATGGAACTCAAAACAACTCAACCAATATCAAAGTCACAATCTTCAATACGAACGTCAAGACAGTCCTACTATACGGAGCTGAAACGTAGAGAACTACTACAACCATCATCCAGAAGGTACAAGTATTTATAAATAGTTGTCTACGCAAGATACTCAACATCCATTGGCCGGATACCATCAGCAACAGCCTTCTGTGGGAGACGACAAACCAGCTTCAATTTGAAGAAGTAATTAGGAAAAGACTTTGAGGTGGATAGAAAATACATTGTGGAAATAGTCAAATTGCATCACAATGTAAACACTAACTTGGAATTCTGAAGAGAAACGGAAAAGTGGAAGGCCAAAGAACACAACGTAGAGAATAGGATGCAGATATGAAAAGAGTGAACAACAAGTGGAAAGGATTGCCCAGGACAGGCATTGATAGTGCTGGTCGTCGGCTCATGCTCCTCCACGAGGAGTAACAGGGGTAAGGAAGCAAGATTGTGGCCCAGTAATGCATTTTATTTCATATCATTTTTTATTTTAAATGACAACAAAGTTAAAAGTCACAACCTCTTTAAGGGTTTCTTTTCTAAAATTAATTACTAGATAAACGAATTGTTTACATTCAATTTTAATCATCCTTTAATCTCATTCACAAAGTAAATCAGACAAGAATGATAAATTACAGCAACGACAGAGTTCATAACTAAAGGAATTTACATGGTATGTATCAGCTACCCCAATAACATATGATAAAAAGTACAGCTGGATGACCTTGGAATCATATGATTTCAAAGGTAAATAGATTATAATAAGATTACAACCCGTTTCACGGTATATTGGCAATAAATGAACAAGTAAATAATTCAACAACCGAATAGTTTCAACATCTATTCATTTACATTTTCTTCTGATCGTTTGTCATAACCAGTCTTGCAATCAGTTATTTCATACACTCTCGTTCACACTGAATTGGTTGAATAAGTATCAAATTATTCATATTTTACTATCCATATAAATATTTTCTCATAGATGAGTGATTTCCTAGTTGCCAAAAAAATCTTATTAAAGTTTACCATAGTTTACAAACACCTAGTCAATAATACAACTAGTGATGTACTTGATACCAAATCAAGTGATTTTGATAAATTAATCAGTTCAATGGATGGCAGGAACAACTGCGAATTAGTTTGATTGGTTGAGTGCTGTCTCAGTGGTTTAGAGGTTGAGCGTTCGCGAGTAATGCCGAAGCCTCTTGGTCCGAGTCCCATGAGGAGTCCCATACTAAGACAAAAAGGTTGTATAGGGCTTCCAAGTTTTCAATAGTTGTCTAACTTAGATCGGTTCATAATTTCAATGATATTCAATGGTCTTCCCTACCCTATTTGAAAATGTGAATGGTATTCATTTTTTGTACAACTCAATAGTATCTTGCACATATAGCATGATATATATTTGAAAGAATGACAGAAATCGGAAATACGCCAAACTGAACACTATCCCTAAGTAAACTAGATCAAAACTCTGGAGTTCAATGATGACGTTTTTGAAGACAATTGTTCACCCAAACATTGTTTCTGAACACTATAGTGATTTTGAAATTATTAAACCTGATCAAACTCGACTAATAATTTCATTCAGCAATAATTTGATAACATCATGTAATAAACAATGACTAAAATTTAAAGGCATTCGCTTATTCCTAAATAAGCACAAATGAAAAGCATCGTAGAGATAACTGTATATCTTCGCACGAAGTTTTGTCGTTTGGATGTCTAGTAAGAATGGTTAATCGCAGGATTTATGACGCAGTTTGTTTTCTGCAGCTTCATGCAGATCATAAACTATTTTCGAAAAGCACTGAATTCCATCACACTCATTATCTGTTTATTACATTACATCATTCCTCTGTAACACAATAATTGAAACAAATAGGAAATATTCAGTTCAGCTAATAATGGTCCGGATGTAAACAGAACTGTTAGTTCTTTTCTAGTTAATTAACCGAATTCCTATCACGCTCTGATATATCCTGAAATCGTTCTTTTATCAGGGCCGATAAATTTCGATGGATCCAAGAAATCTTACTCTATCTTGTATTAGAACGAAATATTGAATCAAGCTAGAGTCAAGAAGTATGTAAGCATTTAATGCAATTACAACTTTGTTTCACTTAGTGCATTGTGAAAATAACAAAGTCTCACAATGTATAATCATGAACCAAGAAATGTGGTGGTCGGAGTTATCTGATGAGATAAGAGTAGAAGCTTCATACAGTAACCATTATAAGCTGTTCAGCCTCATCTGGTCCGTTACCAGTAGTAAACCTATTATCAAATAACCAGTCTGTGAGGTTTAGAACATATTAACTGGTGATTTTAAAAGCTACTTGAAACGCACAGTGGAGCAGTTTGAAAACGTTTCAGCTGGTTTATTGATCCAGAAACTCCAAGCGCATCGCCCTGTGACTCATGGTTGGTGAACAGCAATCAATCTAACGTAACAAATATCTAAAGGTAATCTCAAACCCTAAGATTTTGCAAGATGTTCTGTCCAGACAATTCACCTAGGTACTCCCCAGAAATAGAGAACTAAATGAAAACTTAGGAAAAAACTGATATCGTTTTATCGCTTTGGTTGGGAAGTTTGAGTATCTCTTCACTTGTGAGGGTGCTGGTTGTATTATGAAATACGAAATTAATCTAAGTATGGTGCCAGCTAGAATGACTCATACGATTCTGAACCACCTTCGGCCCTATATAATTTAATTTTGATCATAAAAGCCGAAGTTTTATGTGTGACTGATTTTGTCCAATCTTTAAGAGAACTGGCTTCTCAGAGTTGAGAACGATCCATGACTTCAAACTCAGCTGGGCATAATTCATTCCAGATAACCACTAAGTATCACGTTCATAAAAATCATCTGAAGCCTGAGTACATAAATCTACACTTCGTTAATAAGGCGAAATTATTCTATGTTCGCGGAATTAATTGTAATGTTGAGTACGTGATACGGGGTTTCGGTAACGAGAGGAATGAAAGATAGTTTATGATGTAAAACTGAGAAACTGAAGTTCCCCTTTTGGGTTAATATCTATTTGCACGCTATTTTATGGATTAAATCTTATAGGTTATGTAACTGCAGTGTATAAAATTGTCCTAGTTATGACGTATAATAGAAATCAATGACAAACCTATTGTCTTTTGCTTTAGTGGCTTTCAATGAATAAAATTTAGGCGCTTAAAATGAAGATTTCTGGTGATTTCATTCATATTAGAACTGTATCCACCAATGTTGATTATTACCACTTCTTTTTCGTATTTCCTATAGATTATTCCTTCATCTAAGCATTATTTTGTTTTGTAAGTGAAAATTCTCTGTCACGCATTTGTATCAAGCAAATTCTGTATAATGGATAAAGAAGGATATTTTGATAAGTCAATTAATGCTACATCGTAAATCAGATCACTTAACAGTACGAAGAATGAATTGAGATCATAAATGATTCTTGTGTGTATTTGTGTGTGTGGTTATTTGCAAGAGGACTGAAAATTGACATAGATTATGGCTCAGTGACTAACTCGACAATAAAAAAATCCAACTTTATATTTATCAATAATTCATATATAAGAATGATACTCAGAGAATTAGATAATACACATTCATAAAGCATAGGAGCGACCTAGATTTTACAGATCCAGCACACCAATGACTGTAGCAAACATAATATCAAAGTGTAAAACAAAAAATTTTCATAAAATCTACCTTGAAAAAATCACCATCATAATATGAAACATTTAAATTTAATCAAAATTCACTCTGTCAAATAAATAAATAAACCCTTTCAAAACGTTAGTAAATAAAAATAATAATTTGCTAGGCGGAAGGTGAAAGAAAGGATATAAAAGACATTATATATATAAAACCGCCTACTTGTTGATGATTTTGTGATGTATCCAAATTTTTTGAAATATTTTGACCCGTTGTATCACTTAACTTTGATGGTATTGACAAAGAATATTTTCTTGTTGATGATGGTTTATTACTAGAATGTTTATGTATGAAAAAGGATAATTTATTCGAATGACTAGTATGTTTTTTTGAATTGATGTCCAAATGTAATTCTTGTGCTCTTTTCAATGTCTCTATTACTACTGGATCAGTAGAGATGTAACTTGTTGAAGGACTTTTCAATTTCATTCTGTAATCTTTCTAATTATTGATTTTATTATATATATATATATACTTTTTTTCCCTTATCTTGAATATATTTGTAAGAAACAAAAAAGAGACACAATTTGTAGTTTGTAGTATTTTGTTTTAAATCAGTAACGTTTGTAGTAACAAATAATCATTAAATTTTGTCAATAAGCATATCATTATTAGTAATGACCATTTTCATCATATTACATTACACATATGTATGTATATTTGGTAACAAATTCAAATCAACTATTTGTTATAAATCATTCATTTATGATTCTGATTTGCTTTTCTAATGTTTCATTAGTCTATATGTTGTTTCTTTTTCAATATTAAAATAGTAAGAATTGAACTTAATATTCAAATTTATTATCCATTCTTAGCCAATAAGAATTCGCTATGATCACATGATAACAGCTTATATAACAATTCAACCAATCATAGTGCAGCTACTTCAATGTGGATACTTGTTAAAAATCTAAATAAATACCATGTAAGAATATTAAATGGTATTATGATTTCAATGTTTATCACTAAACTTAATTAGAGATTGCCTATTGTTATTATATTTTGTTCATCATAAATGTATTTCAAAGGTGATATTAACAATCTGTTGATGTTAATGCAGTGAAAATGTTTTCCTTTAAAAGATTGATTTCTAATTCATGATATTGTAAATTGGTGGTACTTTGGAACGTTAAGCCTTTTGTAGAACTATCTGAAAACATAAATAATCGTCTTTCTTCTATTCCAAAAGTATTGATTCGGTACATACATGAGGGAAGGTCTGTATCCACGAGTAAAGATGCTTCATTGTTAATTGTTGAGAGTCATAATAATGTTGTACAAATAAACACGTATAACAGTCAGGTAATATATAGTTAGGCAGTTCTCTAATCTCTATAATCGGATAGTTTTTGAAACATGATCGGCTGGATCTAAGCTCTTCTTCAATAACAGTGGCATTACTTTCGTTACCATATTAATTTTCTTATTTTCTAACGATGAATTTTGGAAATCTACTAGTGTAATAAAAAAAGCACTAATTAATTACTGAGTTCCCAGGCTTATATGTTTTGTTCTAATTAATGAGTTGCTCAAACATTCTACCTTCAACCAGTAGAACAATGAATTAACATTTGCTCTGTCAACCTGAATTTTATCGGATGAACAATATGTATAATAAACAAAAATGAACGTTATTACCTAGTTCTTTTCATCATCTATAGTATATATTTGTCTTCTGGTCAAATTTGACTGTTCTATTCAATTAGTTGTAGATACTCCTGTAATCAATAAAAATTTATTTTAGATTGAAGTACAATTGCATCATACTAATGAAAAAAACAGGATCTCGGTTAATATCTTTATACTACCTGAACTTACTTGGTGATCATCTAAACCTAATAGCATACTAAATAACAACTTGAAGTCCCAGGTGATAGGTACTGGAGTCAATTCTATCTGTGCATGTGGACGTCGAAATTGAACTGCATATATATTCAGCTGACAGACGTAGAATAGAATCAAAACATGCATATTGGATACAGTGCTAGCTACAATCCAAAAAAGATATTTGTTTTGATAAAAAAACTTAATCGATAACTACAATAGACATCGGTAGTTTAAAATTAATGTAAAATGACACTATTTAATTAAAGAGTGGGATTTTAAATCCCCTCAAAAGACCTTAACTCGCATCAACGTTTAGCTTAATGTTCTTTAGTAAATCTATGTATGATGATTAGGAGTATTTGAATTATAGTACAAATTAAGAATCCCAGAAATAACGCAATTGGATCAAGAAGTACTAGATAACCACAAACGAATGTACTGTATTTGAAATTCGTAATCAAACATTCAACAAGTACAAAGGAATCATTAGTTCATTCAAACACCATACTATGTTTATAAATAAGCTTAAAGATAAGCTCACTCATCTGACTACTTCAGTATGCATAAATCAATTCATTTGCTTCTGTAAAGCTAGGAACATTGATGGTTAAAAGCATATTCTTTCTACGAGTGTTCAAGAATGTAATACTGGATAGTTGAAAAGCGCTAGTACTGGATTAGTAAGAAAGTCAATAATTACATATCATATCAACACAGACTATTTGATTAAAAAAGGCTCATCAATCAATGTTTACTACATAAAGACCTGAACATGGTGTACTTCCGTCTTCTTTGAGTTGATAAAGCCTTAATCATACAGTTAGAGAAGCTAGAGCTATGTACATAGAAACCACTAATTTTTTTCAGGATTATCACTTTCTCTCCTACTATATTAATTCTTTACCTTTTATTTATTCCCCTTTTCATGCTCTTTCTGATTACAGTTCATTCTCAAGAAATATTATTATATAAAGCAATCCTTTTAATCTCGTTTCTGTAATGTCCTTTATCAATATTCGAGCTCTTAACTACTATAATTTCAATATCATGACTGGAATAACACTATTCAGCTTTTGTTTATTTTGCTTCGTTGCTACCACTTTTTATAAATAATTATTAATAAGTAATTTATACAGTAATCTTGTTGACGAAAGTATATATGTGCGATTGTGGAGACTTGCGAATTCATTCACCGGTCAGTGATATCATCATTGAAAGACTATTTCTTGTTATACCCCTTAATGGGTGTTTTTTATTGTTTAAGAACTGTGACGACCCTCCGAGAGTAAAAGGACCTTATAAAGTTGTTTTTTTTCAGGTTTGATTAGGAAAAAATAAAAGTAAGTTTACTTACTGATAGGATAAAGTCACGTGAATATTCATGAAGGTAACGGAAAAAACTTCATAGGTATCATACACAAAACAGTGTTGACTCTATGCCCTCGTGCATCATAGAACTTAACCAAAGCATATCGCTAAGAACTCCAGTATTATACCAATCATTACGGAGTGGATGTAACAGTTTACTGAATATGACGCGACAATTGTTTGTAACTTTTCTGGATCTTGACTCTTAAATCCTACTGAAAGCCATAAGAACTCAACACCGATTTCCAAATAATATTGAGAGTTATGTTTTCAATCATTCATTTATAAACTTTACAACAACAGACTATCTGCAAAGAAGCCCTACAACGTGAATCAAAAATATCCACAGTCGATCGATTGAATTCGACCAGCATTAGGATCAGGAAAGCATGTCACATGTTGACTTTTAGTGACGAATTAGTGCAAAATGATAATGAAAATATTGAGATGGTGGAGAAGATTTGTATCTCAGGTGGATGATTTTGATGGAGTTTTGTTCTCTGAGCTGGATGGTTTGGTCATGGAGCTTTCATTGTTATTATGAACGACATCATCAGCACAAACTTCAGGTAGGAGTGAAGTGTTCTTGCATCTGAAGTTTGTGCGGATGATGTCGTTCATAATAACAATGAAAGATCCACGACCAAACCATCCAGCTCAGAGAACAAAACTCCATCAAGATAGACATTTTAACAAGAAAGTTTATGACCACTGATTGGTGTATTAATTAAATGCACAATTTTTACAATTCATCGATTCAGTTGCGTTTTTTCTTACGTACATTAGTATTTAATTCATGCTTTAATTTATGCCAAATAAATTAACACATTTCAGACAGTGTTTTGTTTACTGCTAAACAGGAAGTACTTTTTCTACTCTACAAGTAAAACAACAGTAAAATGAATATATAAATATGGATAACAGCTTTTGAATAATATTCCAAAATTTTCATTAAAATCAAGCCTAGATGCAAAAGTTTTATGCAATCAATTAACCTTAAGCTATATCGCGTAATTCTTGAATAATCTTGAACTTGAAATTTATCATTCCCATCAAACTAATTTCAATGTTATCTCAATGTTTTAAAATTTATATGCCTTGAACCCTTGATAGCTAACTATGCAGGAATAAATTGTGCCAGTATATTCATCTTTTTTGATGTCCAAAATAAGTGCAATATCTAGCATTTTTGAGCATTTTTCCGTTTACTTAGAGGATCGGCTCTGTATATAAGAACATATATATATATATATATATATATATATATATATATATATATATATATATATATATATATATATATATATATATATATATATATATATATATATATATATATTAATCCAATCAACCTGTCATTTAACATGTAAATTAATATTCAGGGTAATTCCCATCACAAACTACTTCACTAGTACGGATAAATCACCATAGTACTAATCACTTTAGGCAAACAATGAAGCATTACAAAGTGATAGTTTGTTCAATAATCAGAACCACATACATTAGAAGTCAACTTGAAACTCAACAAAAAGGAATATATTACTCAAGATCTATGCTACAAATCACTCGTGTATTCAAAGTTTCTTCAACAAGATATCCTTGACATTGCACAAAATCACAGAAATCACTCCTTTAGTTTCAAGTTTCTTAAAATGAACATTTCAGAAATAACAATTCATATGAGCACAAAACTAGTCTCCTATCAATTCTTGTATCACTATAGTATACAGCTTAACCTTACAGAATAGGAAATAAATCTGACTCCTTTTAGTGTTTAAAACAACTTAATTTCAACTATTTGTTTATTCTCTTGTCTATGTTGATTTTCTAAAACTTGACTATTAAATGAGATCATCTACTTATCTCAACATTATCGGTAGAAGTAATATTTCCAATATAGTTCTGATCCCAACGTAATTTTAATTGGCTGATCGAATTCAATAGGATATAATCTGCCTGACAACTTAGTTTTTTTTTAAAAAAAAATAGTGTATCCACTGAAAATTTAGAAGAAAAAAAAACTATTTTTTTATAAACAATTCGTCACTATCATAATTTGAAAAGGATCAACGATTCACTTGCAACATATACGTAATTCTTTTTTTCCGTTCTCATTTTATGAATAATGAATATTCAATTTGATCTTAATTTATACAAACTTTATTCACATTGTAGATTACACTTTTGATTTATTGAAATTTCAAAATTGTTTCTCTTTCTTTTTTTTCTCACTC